TCTCATCTTATTTTGCTTTTTAATCCTGATACTTACCATTAAAGTATTCAAAAGACCATAGTAAAATATAACCACCACAATGCAGTATAAGCCACTTTATTTTTGATGTGTCTCTAGCCACCGGTTGATGGCCATTTTCAGAGTCCTGTTTGGTGTGAGGACGAGTGAAGGAAGAGTAAGATTTGTCATAGGACTTGTGCGTTTCTTCTTACCGATCCAGTTTTCCATTGCTTCCTTTTCATATGAATAGCCATCTGAAAAAACAAGCCACATACACAAATGGTGAGATGTATGAAAGAGGGCAGGACTGCCAAAGGAGTTATAAAAGCTTCATTACCAAGGCTGGTATTGTGTTTTCATGGTATTCATGCACACCTCTTCCCTCTTATCCCTCCCACCCCCCCAAACCCTACCTACTGCTGTCAAATTGATACCCTTTGGTAGTGACACGAGAGGTCACAGAAGAACTGCCTCCAGCCTAACTTTATGGAAGCAGACTGCTTCCTAAGTTGAAACCATGGCCCTTTAGCTTAGAAACCAAGCTTTCACCCAGGGTAGGGTTCCTGTGTCTTGCACCAGTGCTCCCTAAACATCCACAACATTCCGCCATCCAGAAAGCATTAAGAACAGATTGCACCCAGTGAGGCACAAGTTGGTTAGAGCAATATCAGCACATGCCTTGAATACTTCTTGCAAGGCCTTTTGGATACTATTTGAGACCAGGACCCTGTCAGGAATTCTGATGTAGTGGAAGGGAAAAAAGGAAAAAAACCTGGTTTCTTTATTGGCTGTTAAAAAGGCCTTAGCAAAACTTCCTAACACATGAACCTATAGAACGATACACAGGGCTTATAGAACTTACCAAAGTAAAAGGGCTGAAGGGGTAGGGGGAGATGTTCCATGATTCACAAGGAGCTTCAAAAAGTTCCTAGAGAAATGGAATTCTAATGGGATGCTTCCAAGCATTTTGAAGCCCTCACTCCTAAGAAAGCACTTGCCATTTCAACATTTTTGGTCATGTGCAGCCCTTCCCACTGTGATTAGTTTTTAATTCTATGTTCTTGGGCAGTTCTCACATGTTTCCTCTGTCTAGTGTGGAATCTGTGCTTAGCTTTCATTTAAAAATTTTAAAATGCTTACAATCCATACATCAATTATCAAGCATATTTGTACATATGTTGCTATCATTCTTTTCTAGACATTTACTTTCTATTGAATCCTTGGTATCAGCTCCTCTTGTAACTTTCATTTTTATATTTGTGATCTTTTTTAAGGTAAAATGTCTTGGTTCTTAATTACACAATGTTTACAACAATGCCAGTATATTACTAACAATATAAGACTTCCTACTGTCATGACCATAGATCTATTAGGGATATCTAACTGAAATAGTGTTCATGAAAATCATTTCGAGGAAAAACCTGTATTAACTTGCTATACAATTTTTTGTTTGCTTTTTCATTTCACTACTTTTTAGGGCTTGGTATAAAGCACAATTTCCAAGAAAAACTATGAATGTGCCCACTCCCTCCTGTTCTCTTCCCTCCCATAATTAACCACTTAATTTTTACCCTTTTACTTCTCTTTGAAAATATAGGCAAATGTATATGCGCACTATATTCCAAAACCAAATTTGCTGCTATCTATTCCAACTCATTGCAACCCTAGCTACTGGAGCAGACCGCCTTACCTTTCTCCTGTGGAGTTCCTGGTGAGTTTGAACAGTTGGCCTTGATATTAGTTCAAGGTTTATCAGACAGTGCCACCCCCACCACCACCCACCCCACACAATCCTTTACTACATAAAAGCCAGGTGGGTGGGTGTAGGTAGGTAGGTATGATTACTCCTGGGTTTTTTTCTGAGTGTTTGAGAGTTACTGTTTTCAGTTGAGGCATAAAAGTCCATAGTATGAATGTACCAGAGCTTGTTTATCCATTCTCCTATAGTTGGGCTTTTTGGTTGTTTCCATGTTACTGCTATTATGGAGATTGCTGCCATTCTTATTTCTTTTGGATACCCACTAGAGAACTTGCTAGATCACAAGGTACTTGGATTTGCAGTTAGGGAAATGCCATACTTCTTTGGTTGTACAATTTGATAGTGCCACCAGCAACGTGAAAGTGTTCTCCACATCCTTCTCTAGCAAGCTTTATTGACTTTTGCCAAAACATTGTGGTGTGAAGGGACTTAATGAACATTTGGTGACTGCTAGCCACCTGTATGCATTTTTGACAAACTGTTTATTCATATCTTGTGACCACCACCCCCC